CCTCCAATGCAGACCATCCTAGTCACACTCCCCTGTCAGCATTCCCACACCCCAGCAAGAACAGTCCCAGTTCGTCACACCCTATATTACAGCTAAATTTTTACAACACTCTTATTCCAGAAGACAATTGCATTGTTCCTGTTTACCCAATGCACTGCAGAAGTGGGCTAACACACAAACAAAGCATTCTTGCTCCGAAATTAGAGTGTCCACATATGGATTTATTCTGGAATAATCATTAACCTTAGCACAGGTGCAGCTCCAGGGAACAAGCTCTAGTGCAGATGGGCTGCCAGCTACTGCTGCCATTTTAATCTCAATTATGTTTGACCTTGCTTAGAGCTAGTGCAAACTAGAGCTATGGGGAGAATCCCTTCCCAACTCCAGGCATTGCACACCACGGTGGGCTAACCCTTGTGCCAGTCACTGCACATCTGATTTTGTTTGTTTCTTCTGTGCCCAGACCCAGCTACGATGACGGGGAAGGTTACCTCATTCTCCACAGTGAGCGCCACTCTGCCCGGCTACGTCGCTCTCTGCCTCACTCTACAGGTTCACAGGCTGGCGTCAGGTAGGAGCTCTGGCCTCCTCGCTGGGTTTGCTGCCTGTTCTCACACAGAGCACTGCTGCCCTGCAGCTCCTCGCACATACAGAGAGAAGTGACCATGTTACCCCTTTCAGGGTCACCCCCACTGGACACCCCCACAGCTCAGGGCACACCCAGAATATCCCTCCTCCTAACGCTGTCTGCTGGACTCCTGCCAGCCAAACCCCTGGATGAAAACTCCCATTGACTTCAGTGGGGCCTGGATCTCTCCCCTGGATTTTGGTGTCTCCACTTCCCTTATGGTCCTTGCTTTAATCTAGCACCAGCCTCCTCTCTGCCCCTTCCTGCTAGTGTGAGTGTCCCCCCACCCCACCCCCCGTCTCCTCCTGCCACCTGGCACATTCACTGACAAAAACCTTCATTGACGCAGAGCCATGCTTACCGGGGGTTTCACCTGCCCTTCCAGAGCATTGAGTTCAACAAAACTCAAACTGCTGAAAACCAGGACATATGGAGGTAAAGCACATGCCAACACAACCTTAGCTCTGCCTCCTCCCCAGAGCCTGTACTAGCCACTGGGAATTACCTGCATGCATCCAGCTGCAGTCACTGTACTGGGTGTAGCTGGACTGAATGGTGGAGACATTAGCTGGAGCAGCTTGGTGGAGCTGTCACTGTGATGTGAGGTCATCTGGGTCAGAGCTTCCCCAGGCGTGTGAGGAAAGGAGAGATGTGCATGTCTACCTTGAGGGATCCAGTATCCCGCATTTCAGCCCTGAGCTGTGTACTTGTGTCAGTAACAGGGTTCAGGGGTCTGTTTACCCCGGGATTGTCTGTGTGTTCAGTGATGGGTAAGGAACATATAGTGCTAGATGGAATCCTGGGAGTGAGGGTGAAGGGGCTGTTAAAGGGGGTGACAGGCTTGTAAAAAGTAACAAGTGTGGGGCTGTTCCTGGGCAGTAGCTCAGTATAGAACAGGGTCGGTAGCTCCGTTCAGTGCAGGCCCCCTAAAAACAAGTTTTCCCTTAGCAAGGAGAAGGCATTTGACTCTGTGCTACAGTTGTCATATGCCCTGATCCCTGAGTGATGTGCACTATCTGCACAGGCAGAGTATGGGTCTGTGTGCAGTGGGTGTATTGCAGGGATCGGCAACCTTCAGCACGCGGCTCGCCAGGGTAAGCACCCTGGAGGGCTGGGCCGGTTTGTTTACCTACCGCGTCCGCAGGTTCGGCCAATCGCGGCTCCCACTGGCCGCGGTTCACCGCTCCAGACCAATGGGGGCTGTGGGAAGCGGCGCAGGCCGAGGGATGTGCTGGCCGTTGCTTCCTGCTGCCCCCATTGGCCTGGAGCGGTGAACCACGGCCAGTGGGAGCTGCGATCGGCCGAACCTGCGGACGCGGCAGGTAAACAAACCATCCTTGCCCACCAGGGTACTTACCCTGGCGAGCCGTGTGCCGAAGGTTGCCGATCCCTGGTGTATTGGATCACCTCTCAGAGAGGGCAGAGTTAAGGTTGCTTTGGCCCGTACATTAACTTTGCATTTGCTGGTGTTCAGAGCCGTGAGTTTTGCTGAACTGTTTTCTGGAAGGACCTGAGATACCTCTGGGAACCTTAACTCTGCATTAGCAAAGATTTTCGTAAATGTCTTTCCTAGTTTCTTGAACAGAAAGAGGACTCCTTGTAGTAGACATTAATGGTCATTTAGGCAGTTGTAGTCCTCACTTAGGTTTGCAATCGATACATGACTGTGCTAATAACACAAAGACCTAACTTTTATATAGTGCTTTTCATCAGTAGAACTCTAGGAACTTTATTCATTATACCCATTTTACAGATGGGGAAACTGAGGCACAGAGTAATGAAGAGACTTGCCCAAGATCACCCAGAAGGCCAGTGGCAGAGCCAGACTAGTCCCAATCCAGTGGTCTCTCCATTAGGCCACATGGTTGCTATGTCATTCTTCAGCACTCCTCACCCTGCCTGTACATTTTGCTACAGTGCAATGGGGATTATGGGGTTGTGCTTTGAAGGGTTTACAGTGTATAGACGCTAACAGGGCTGGTGCGAGAAATCTGAGACACAGTTCATGGCCCAGCATCTTGATAGTTCTGTAGTGGTTATAGTGACTATAAATGAGAGAGAAAACTACTAAGTCTGACTCCTTCTCCATCCTCTGCCCCATCATCCCTCACAACATGTAGCCCCTCCTTCCCCCTCCAACATCCCAGCTCTCCCTCCCCTTGCCTCACCATGAAGCCATTAGTTAGCATTGTCAAAGCCTTTAATATGTAAAATGTTGCTCCTTGCTGTCTCCAGATGGGGTAGACATACCTGTGCTAGCTCTGATCAAGCTGTCATGCTATAAATGGCAGAGTAGACACAGTGGCATGAGCAACCTCCCTGAATATGTACCTAGGGTCCTGGGCAGGATCATACCTGGAGAGCTAGCTCATCCCCCCCGCTCACATCACCATGGCTACACTTTCTCACTCTACCTCAATCAAAGCTAGTGGGTGCATGTCTCCCCACACTGGAAATTACAGCTCCAGCTCCCGCTGTAGACATCCCAATCCAATGTTACCAGCTTGCAGAATTTTATCACAAGTCTCATGACATTTGATGGGTTTCTTAAAGCCACAGCTCCTGGAGGCCTGTGATTAGGTGAGAATCTCAGCTTTCATTTTGTTATAAAGTAAGTTTCTGTCCCTTGTAGTTACAGATAAATGCTTGGAAATGTGACCCAAGGCAACTTTAAAGGTTCAGAAATTAGAAGGCAAAGAACAACCCCCATTTTATGATTTTTTAAAAAATCTCTTTATTTTTAAGCCAATCTCATGATTTGGGTGTGGGACCTGACTTGGCAATACAAATCCTGCTGCACACACATTCCTGTCTGTCTTGGTTCCTCTCCACTTTAATTTTCTTTTTCCCCTGACTTATTTCACAGCACAGTTCACAGTGACTGGACCTGACCATCCAATCACTGCCTCCCTAGGTGGGGTGGCAGTCCTGCCCTGCCACCTCTCCCCCAGGATGAGTGCTGAGAACATGGAGGTGGGATGGTTACGATCCCAGGACTCTGCAGTCGTGCACCTGTACCGTGATGGGCACGATCAGTATGGAGAGCAGATGCTGGAATATAGAGGAAGAACTGAGCTCTTGAAAGATGACATTACCAATGGGAGAGTTTCCCTGAGAATACGCAATGTCCGACCCTCCGATGATGTGCAGTACACATGTTTTTTTCAGTCCGGTGTCTCTTATGAAGAAGCTTTATTGGAACTGCAGGTGGCAGGTCAGTGACTTGTGGTATTTTGATGTCTTCAACAGGGTAATAAGTGGAGTCTGAGGGGTCATTCTGAGATGCCACTTGATGTGTCTCATTATAGTGGGGCAGTAGCTCTGCTCTGGATAAGGTTTATTCTAGTTCACTGTTTAACAGCTGTTTTGTCTAAGGGCTCTAAAATCCACACACATACTCAAATTGTTTTGAAAATTGCTGTGACACATTGGAGTCTGGGATAGGATTAGTGGGCTAAGATTGAGTTCATTAGAGCAAGGAATTAACGAGATACACAAACACCCCTAAAAAGTCAGGTGATGTCGGCATGTTGTGGTTATTACAATTTTTTTGTGCACACCTGGGACCATAACAATGGTTGATCCTCCCCACACTGATGTCATGAGCTGGGATTGATCTCGGCTTGTGTCTGGCACCCACAGGGTAACAGTGGTTTATACACAGAGTCCTGTAGCTCAGCGCCTGGTATAAGAATGGGAGAACTGAGGAATTCTCCCCTCCCAGGACAGGGGAAGGCAGGAGGCCTGATACCTGAAGGTGCTGCCAGAGAGACCAGCCAGGGCACATGTGTAGCTAGTTCTGTTACCGTGACATGAGGTTTAGGTCAGATGCAGCGAATACCAGACTGCTGACAATCCCCATGGCAAGAAGACACCTCTGTGCACTTCTACTGACACAGCCTACAGACCTCAGCAGTGAAATGAGACATATGTAATGATCCCTCAAGGTACATGTACCTCTCTTCATATTGCAGTGACAGCTCTGCCAGCCTGCTTGAATTAATCCCTTCCCCAGTCACTACAGCGACTCCGAACACAGTCTCCATCAAGCCTGTGTATTATGGAACCACCCTCACTGAACCGTTCCCAGCGCTTATTGCCAGCCCAGGAGGCAGAGTCCAGGTGGCAGGGCTGGGGCGGTGTGTGCCATTATTTTTATCTCTTGGGTTTCAGGAGTTTAAGTTTAGCTGCTTTTTGCATTTTGGAAATGCACAAAGCCCTGCTGGGCAGCCTTACTTCTGCATTGGCAAGTAGTTTGTGGGCGTTAATATGTAACTATAAACCCCTTGTGGCCGAGATGGAGTCTGCTCTGCAGAGCGGCTCCGGCCACGAACAGGCGCGAACTGGAGCACAGCGGGGTAACTCCTTCCACCCCAGGGAACAGGGTTAACTGAGATTCCTCACAAATCTAGACACAATCTTATCATGACATCCATACAGCAAATACTTTACAAACAGCACCAACAAAATTAGCATCAAACATACAGATTTCTTCAGTACCAAATGGTTCACAGGCCGCACAGCCTGTGCATTTAAAACATACACTGCTGATTTGGTATTAATGCCACCACATTGATCTGAGTTGACCAAGCAGCAAGCACCCAGTTCATCCAAAAAGCTGGTATCGTCTCTTTGTGATTATCTTCTTGATGCAATCAGTTAAAGCAGGCCTGTGAGTGAGTATCAGCATTCAGGGCAGAGATCTTCACCTCCCCATTGGGTCTAACTGAAGACTTTGGTACTTTTTTTCTTTATATTGGGAGTGGAATTTGCCCCCACTCTTGGAGATGCCTTACTGAGCATACTGCAAGAGTTCATTAACTTTTTCCTTTGTTCACCTGTGTACCGTACACTCTGCAACACCCCACCCTTACCCAATTCCTAGGGCTCAGGGGGCACTCTTCTGAGGATTTGCAGGGTATTTTACCAAGAGCCTTACACAGTAATATCCTCACCTCTATTTATTAACAATTACGGAGCAGAATACACATGCTAAGCATACAATGCTATGCTCACCAATCCTGATCAGGCAGGCAGACTTTCCCTGTTGGCCAGGCAAGGTCAATCTTTGGATTCTGGTTGCTCCACAACAAAGTCATGCAGAGGATTTGTAGCAGCTCTGATCTTGGGCTGTGTCTTACAGGTGAGTTGTTCTTCTTCTTCTGTTCCTTCTGTTGGTCTCCTTGGACCCCAGGTTACATAGTGAAGCTTGAGTCCTGCTTAGCTTAACCAATCATTTAACTAAAATATTACAAAATATTATTTGATCAATCCTAACATACTGTGAAACAATTCTTTAACCAATCATACCCCCCACCTTAGTTGATTTAAGTCTTGCAAAATTAGTTATGCAACAGACAGAAACAATCAAAAAAACAAACAGAAACCATATAGATAAACAATAGAGAAGTAGGGACAATAAAGGCAAAACAATAATGAAGTAGAGGTTTCACACCCACAACTATTGATAAGTGATTCCTTGCCAGACAGAATGCCATCAAGCAAAGTTTTCTTTAAATATCTTAAGAGACTCCTGCTTTATCTGATGATGGTGGGCACTATTAGGAGATGTTTCAGAGTAGCAGCTGTGTTAGTCTGTATCCGCAAAAAGAACAGGAGTACTTGTGGCACCTTAGACACAAAGTATTTATTATGCTCTAATAAATTTGTTAGTCTACTATTAGGAGAGGATCACCTTCTTAACAGTCCGACAGAGCCGTAACAAGGAATTTTTGTGCCCGAGGCAAGGGCCAGCTCCAGGCTCTTCGGCAGCAATTCGGCGGTGGGTCCCTCAGTCCCTCTCAGAGAGAAGGTCCCACTGCCGAATTGCCACCAAAGAATGAATGAAGCAGCAGCGGCAATTCGGCGGCAAGTCCTTCCATCCGAGAGGGACTGAGGGACCCGTTGCCGAATTGCCACCGAAGAAGCGGCAGCAGTAGCTGCCGCCGCGATCGCAGCTTTTTTATAGACTCATAGACTTTAAGGTCAGAAGGGACCATTATGATCATCTAGTCTGACCTCCTGCACAATGCAGGCCACAAAATCTCACCCACCCACTCCTGTAACAAACCCCTAACCTATGTCTGAGTTATTGAAGTCCTCAAATCGTGATTTAAGTCCTCAAGGTGCAGAGAATCCTCCAGCAAGTGACCTGTGCCCCACGCTGCAGAGGAAGGCGAAAAACCTCCAGGGCATCTGCCAATCTGCCCTGGAGGAAAATTCCTTCCCGACCCTAAACATGGCGATCAGCTAAACCCTGAGCATGTGGGCAAGACTCACCAGCCAGCACCCTGGAAAGAATTCTCTGTAGTAACTCAGATCCCACCCCATCTAACATCCCATCACA